AGAAAGAAAGAAAGAAAGAAAGAAAGAAAGAAAGAAAGAAAGAAAGGAGAAAGAAAGAGAAAGAAAGAAAGAAAGCAAGCAAAGAAAAAAGAAAGAGGGGGAGCGAAACGAAATCCCCGACCGGCGCTTTTCTTCTTGTCAACACACTGCGTTGTGGCTGTGTTTTGCATTTTTGTTTTTCCTTGCTTTTCCTACTTTTTTTTTTTTTTAAGAAGAAGGGAGGGTTTTGGTTGTCCTTAATTCATGTTTGGGATTCAGGAAAGCATTCAGAGGACTGGGAGCAGCATGAAGGAAGAGCCCCTGGGCGCGGGGATGAACGCGGTCAGGACTTGGATGCAGGGAGCCGGCGTCCTGGATGCAAACACGGCGGCGCAGAGGTAGGTAGGGCTCGCGGCAGCATCCCTCCCTTCCCCTTCCTTCCCCGGCTCGAAAATCCAGCGGTCCAGCCAGCCTCAGGTCTGTAGCTGATGGGCAGTGCCTCCCGGAGATAGCTTGACCCCAAATGACTTTTTAATCTTAGGACCGGAGAAGCCGCCGAACCAGGTGGTCTATATTATTTCCGATTGGTATCTGCAAGGTTCTTTCTTTCTTTCTTTCTTTCTTTCTTTCTTTCTTTCTTTCTTTCTTTCTTTCTTTCTAACTTTCACATTTCCCCCTCCAAAATATGTTGACGTTTCCGATGCTCACATTAAAAAGCAAAATTAGGCTGCCCATTTACTGCTTGCTGTTCCCCCCCTCTCTCTCTCTCTCTCTCTCTCTCTCTCTCTCTCTCTCTCTCATATCCACGTACCTCGGATTAATTTATCCATTCGGAACGGGTACGTATTTTTCACCTTGTCCCTTCTTTCTAAGTTGCACCTAACAAATGGTGTCGATGGGTAAAGCGATCCGCGTCACTTTCAATCCCTGTCACTTTCACAACAACTCTGCTTGTTCGTGGATGGTCTACTGTATATATTTTTGCTTGTCCACCCGAAGCTGTCCCTTCCCTCCAGCGATACCTTTTGACAAAGGTACGCCCGGGACCTTTTCAACCTTCCAGCCCTTTGCAGTCCAGGGAACTAAGTTCGGCTGCTCTCCGCGCGGTGCTTACTCCCAAACTCCCGTACTCTGAGGTTGCAGCCTGGGCCGCAGGTTAAACCGGGCGGCTGGGACGCCTGGACAGGTCGCGAAGACACCGGTCTTGCTCCGCTGGATCCCTCCCTCCTTCCGTCCCCCGCCTCCTCTGCTCGGGAAGGGAAAGTGGTGTGGGGACGAAGCCGACGTGAAATTATGGATACGTTTTGCAGGGATGCTTCCCGCCCGAGCGAGAGCGGGGCTGGAGTCCGAGAGGGTCTTCCTGCGACCTCTTCGGGCACCGGGCGGAGTTAGTGACAGCTGAGGCCGCAGTGGCCCGACTTGCGAAAGCGCGGCCTTGGGCAGGCAGCGGGAGCATCCCCCGGGGCAGTACGAGCAGCCGGCAATTTCAGCTCGCTAATTCGGGCTGCAGTGAAGGGATTGGAAAAGGAAGCGAGAGCTAAAGGCCTCTTCCGCGCAGATTTGTTTCCAGGGACCATTTTCGCGGTTTGGAAAGGCAGCGATTCCTTCGGGGTTCCGGGAGCCATGGGTTCCTGCGGAGGGTCCACACGGCTGAATGGCTCCGTTTCTCCCCTGAGGGGAATCACCTGCCTCCCTTCTTCCGTAGAGGTTGGGGAGCAGGCGGGGGCGGCCTTGCCCCCCCGGCCTGAAATTGACCGGGGCTTAGTGACCTGACCAGGACCCCGCTCTTGGATCCGGCAGCCCGCTTGACGCTAGGAAAGGCCTGGTACCTCTTCGCCGGACTCGGCTCGGGCTTGGGAAAGGGAGGTCTCCCGGCTATGAGAATAGCGGGGCTGGGACGAAGCGCGCCTAACTCGGTCTCTTTGGCCGCAGCGGGGTAGGCCTGGCCCGGGCTCATTTCGAGAAGCAGCCGCCTTCCAACTTGCGGAAATCGAACTTCTTCCACTTCGTACTGGCTTTGTACGACCGGCAGGGGCAGCCCGTAGAGATCGAGCGCACCGCCTTCGTGGGCTTCGTGGAGAAGGAGAAAGTAAGTGTGCGTGTGAACGGGCCCTCTGCGCGTGTGTGTCCGCGGCTGGGAGATTTCCCTGCACTTCGGAGCCCTCTCCCCCTGCCCGGGCCCATCCTAGAGAAGAGAGCCTGGCCTTTGTGGAATCCTTTCAAACTTACGCTTAGCCGACCCCCCGCCCAGCAATCTGCCAACTTTTGTCTTGTTTTCGGCTCGATCTCTAGGTGTTTCCCTCCCGGCGCTTTTCCAACCTGCTCCTGTCCTTTGCATCCAGGCCCGGAGCAGGTTTGGTTGAAATCTTCCAGCTCAACTCCCTTTGAGTAG